TACTTTGAACGGTGCATTATTCTTTTGAACCCGGTACCAACAGGAATCCCTTGTACACCATCTTATCAGCCTATTTCGCCAATACCAAACCGGTTGCTTGGATCCTTGAAAGTTGACATAGGAAACTCACCTAATTCAGCCCTTTCTTCTCATTTTGATTCTGATACACTTTCTTCTGCATTAAGTGACAGCCAGGAACAGCACACCCCCGGGGAAATTCACTCAGGTATCAACTCTCATAACTCTTTGCTGGAAAGCAATCATTATTTGCACAGGCCGGTCTCTTCTGTAGACCATCTCCAAGACGATTTGCATCTATCTACTAGAAGCTTTCTATCACAGGATGCAAGTTATGACCATGAAACAAGACATGCGTTGCTGGAATTAGAAACTGCTTTGATGGCACCTGATGGTGAAGATCAATTCACCACACCAAGCGCTTCTTTTGGTGTTACCAGCAGGCCGACAACCTCTGGCCAAAGAAATAGGTCCTGGAGCCATGAGGGCCAGTCAAGTGATGATGCACATATAGAGAAGCGTCACAAATCAATGGAGGAAGTATCTCTACAAGGACTCCCATCAATCAATTTGAAACAATTGCTGATTGTTTGTGCCAAAGCCTTGTCGGAAAACAACATGAAAGATTTTGATCATTTGATAGAAAAGGCTAGAAGTGTTGTGTCTATAAGTGGGGAACCAATCCAGCGCCTTGGTGCTTATTTGGTAGAAGGGCTAGTTGCAAGGAAGGAGGCATCAGGAAATAACATCTACCATGCCCTTAGGTGCAGAGAGCCTGAGGGAAAAGACTTACTCTCTTACATGCAGATACTGTATGAAATCTGTCCCTACTTAAAATTTGGTTACATGGCTGCCAATGGAGCTATTGCTGAAGCTTGTAGGAATGAGGACCGCATTCACATCATAGACTTTCAGATTGGTCAGGGAATTCAATGGATGACACTTCTTCAAGCTCTTGCAGCAAGACCTGGTGGACCTCCTCATATGCGGATCACAGGGATTGATGATCCTTTCTCTAAATATGTTCGTGGTGATGGATTGGAAGCTGTTGAGAAAAGCTTAGCTGCAATCTCTCAGAGATTTAACATCCCAGTTGAGTTCCATGGTGTGCCTGTATTAGCTCCAGATGTGACAAAGGACATGCTTGATGTTAGGCCTGGTGAGGCTTTGGCTGTGAACTTCCCTTTGCAACTCCATCACACGGCTGATGAGAGTGTTGATATGAGTAATCCAAGGGATGGACTTCTGAGATTGGTGAAATCACTGTCTCCCAAGGTAACTACATTGGTAGAGCAAGAGTCAAACACAAATACCACTCCTTTCTTCATCAGGTTTATAGAAACCTTGGATTACTACTTGGCAATATTTGAGTCCATTGATGTGTCTCTTCCTAGAAAGAGCAAGGAGAGGATTAATGTGGAGCAACATTGTCTGGCTCGGGATATTGTCAACATTATTGCTTGTGAAGGGAAGGAAAGGGTAGAGAGACATGAGCTGTTAGGAAAGTGGAAGTCTAGGTTGACAATGGCTGGTTTTTGTCAATATCCTTTGAGTTCTTATGTGAATTCTGTCATAAGAAGCCTGCTGAAGTGCTATTCAGAACATTATGATCTTGTAGAGAAGGATGGGGCCATGTTGTTGGGATGGAAGGAGAGAAAATTGATTTCAGCTTCAGCTTGGCATTGATTATGTGCAGACAGGAAATAATTTAGCGGTAGAAATATGTTGCTGACTGAGTTTTATGTTGATTTCCAGGGCCATGCGTCCTTATCATTGTTTTAGAGGCCACTGTTTTATAAATTTGTTTATGGAGTTTTATGTCATAGTGATGCAGATTACTGTATACCAATTCTTTTATAAATAAAAAATTTAGACATGTACAGTGTTTTGGTCTACAAATATTGTACTTGTACTTGAAACTTATACTTCGTCTCCAATATAAATTAAATGAATTCACAACAAGTTTATTGACAGCTTGCTACATTCTTATCTGAAATAATTTGTTGCATTACCTTTTTTTCTCGGTTGCATAATAGCTGATAATGTCTGGCAATTGGGTTAAATTTAAAAAGTATGGTCATTTTTCATGTTGGGGCATGGTTGGTTTTCCAAGTTGCTGTCTGGGCACTAGGATGGTTGTTGTATATACTGATTTTGCTTTTGAGATATGTCATTACCAATAGAATTAGTCATACGTAACTACAATTACACACTGATCATTTGATATATTTTACATTCAGAAATACAAAATAAGTACATGGAAGCAGCGGATCCTTGCCAAGATGTCACATGGTTATTACTCTGGAAGTAACCAATTTTGTGGTGGTGAAGAGGTTGGTTGACCATGGAAGTTCGGCCAATATCCTTGACATGGAAACAGAGGAGACTCTGTCGAATTTCCAGGTAAACAAAGGGAATCATAGATTAGAGAGGATATGCATAAGAGTGTTATGGATGTGGAGAAAGATATTAGATGACTATAGCAGTACATGTGAGTTCGTTCATAAGACTCAAATGAATAGAGATGAGGTGCGAGGTTGTGAAATTCCAATGGTGGTGTCTAAGGCTCAAATATGGTAAAACTAGTTGAAGAAATGAAGTGAGGAAAACTAGTTAGAGAAATAAAGTTTGGAAAACTAGTTGGAGACATAGATTCCTCTGCATTGCATATTGAGTAGATGTTGTGAGGTGTCTCTCATTGTTTGGAACAACAAGGTTCATTTGATTGTAATTCATATGAGAGTGATAGATGCTCACTCACCTTATTTTATTTTTTTAACTCACTAGCTACCTCAAGGGATGATTCACTTTGATGATGGAGATGAATTGGAGACAATGGATAACATAGGTTTCTTCCTTCAACATATGCATCTCAAAGGTATAGTGAAATTCAGTTTGTGAGGTTGGCCAATGATGTCTTTGGTAATTACAGGATGGCGTGTGAAATTATTGTCTTTTAATTACAATAAAAAAGGTACTCTCTGACTCCATAAAAAAAATTTAAATAAGTTGGTAGTTATTATTTTTTACAATGTAATGATTATTTTATATATACATTCTTTTCTTATTTTATCTTTATATATTTTGATAAAAAAAAGTAGAATACAAATATAAGGATATAATTATCTTTGAAAAAAATGGAATTAAAAAGAAATTCTTCTTTATACATTGTTATGGATTTATATATTATTATAGATATTACAAACATACTTATTTAAAAATGAAAGTTGATCTAGAATACAATTATCGGAATAGATGTAAGTAAATCCATGTAAGACTAAAATATCATTTGTATTACGATATAGTGGTCTGAATCTAACTATAAGTCCCCATTTTACATTCACTATTTTATTTCACAAAATACATTATTTTTGTCTAACTTTATTTGAAACATATATTACAATTTATAATAGAATGTTAGCATTTATTTATTATTACGGTCAAATCTTAGCTTATATTTTTATTCTTTATTAGCGTTGTTTTAGTTAAAAATGTCTCAATTTCATCCTTATTTTTAAAAAAATTACAAATTTTGGTTCATGTCAATAGTTAATGCCTTTTCTTTCTCAATTTCTTTTTTCTCCCTTAAATTTCTAGGTAAATTTAGATTATAATTTTTTTGGTAATTTTTCTTTTCTATTGTATTTTTGTTATTTTTAAAGCATCTTCATTTTCAATGTTTCAATATTAATATGATTGTATGAATAGATTTTCTCCTTCATTTTATTTTTTGGTATTTTTTTCTTCTCCTTTCAATTTTGTTATTTTAAAAACATTTTCTTTTTTATTCTTTTAGAACTCAAAATTAGGTGGAGTGAGTAAGTCTTTTATTATCCAATTAGAAGATGAAATTGTTTCCCTTTGTATTTGATTACTCACGTGTTTTATACTGTGAACTTTAGTTTTATTTTCAATATTATTATGCTATTTTAAAAGTATACATTTTTAGAGTTTATGTTTGATATGTTATGTCGAGTTTGCTTTTACATATATATTCTAAGTTTTATTTTGTTATTTTAAAAATCATTTTTAATATGTTAAGATGAAATCTATAACAAGGTGCATGTCTACTAAATTCAATACTCAATACAAATGATATCTATAACTACATCTTTTGTCGAAATTCATTTATAATATTGTTTCACTACAAGAACACTAATTTTTCATATCTATTTTAAATTACAAATACACATTATGTTTCCAATAAAATTCAAGACTTTAATTATAACCTAACTTTTTCATTTTTTCAAACTTCGGATTCACTTCCTCTTCATCCTTTCAATTTCAACCAAGTCTTTTCTAAAAAATTTACCTTCATACTAATTTTGGTTGTAAGTGATTTTTTTGTCCCATAATTTATTTTTCTACTGAATTGTAAGTCAAATAGTAAAATGCTGAATTATTAGTTGATGTTCTGAACTGTTCATTTTCATAAACATTTGATTTCATAATCATGCATGGTGCATTGTTACTACAATTTTTTTTTACATAACCTATTGCTTTTATTTTTAGGAAAACATGTTGCTACAATTTGGATTTTCAAAAAGAAAACAATTTTGGGATACAAGTTCTTTTTATTAGTTGCATCTGTTTTGTTAAATATTTTTTGCTACATAGTAATCTTTAAAAATAGGCAAAGGCTTAATTTAATAACATTTGTCTTATTCTCATCTTTCCCATTATTTTGTAGACAAACTTCTAAAAATTCATGCATAAGTGCATAAAATTTGGTGCTTGCACTTTTAAAATTTTGCATTCTTTAATTTAATACTCTAATGAAGTTCATATTATATGATATTTGATTAAATCAGTAAACACATTTGAATATATTCATATTAATTTATTTTAGTCGATAAAGATCTAAACTATTGTGTTAGGATATATAACTTACACTCATTGATAATTCATTGAATAATCATTTGCAAATGGATAACTCATGAAATTAAGTCATTTAGAACACAAAACTAATAAATTATCGTTTGAGTCATTTAGTAGTTACAAAAAATGAATCAAAATTGTAGTTAAAAAAATTATTAAATTTGATCTCCATTTTAATCGTTTTTATTTTACATGGGTTAATGTTTTTCTTTATATACAAAATTATGTACTATTTACTCCTTTACAAATAATTTTAAATTATTATTATTTTCTTTGAATTTAAATCTCTTTGTTCAATAATTTTATGAATAAATTTTTAAAAGAAAAAAATAATTAAAGATGCACCAATTGTGCATCACCCATTCATATGCACGAGTTACTTACTACTTAACAATGTAAAAAGTATTCTCTAACTCTGTAAAAAAGTATTTTTTTTTTAAATAAGTTAATAGTTACTATTTTTTAAAATGTAATTATTATTTTGTATATATATTTTCTTATTTTATCTTTAGATATTTTGGTTAAATATAATTGTCTTTGAAAAATGGAATACCAAAAGAATTTTTTTTTATATATTGTTATATATATTACAAGCATACTTAACTATTTTATGATATTATTATATTATTAGATGATTTTGAATTATTATTATTATTATTATTATAATATTTGATGAGATTGTTTCTCTTATTTATGATGAGACTATAACTTTGAATTTGGTTTGATTGTTTTATCAAATTAAAAACTCTTTTAAAATTTTGAAACAAAAGAAATAATATAAGCTATAGAATAGAAATTTTAACAATAATCTTTTATAACAAATTAAAAATATTTTTTAATTATTGAAAATTAAAATTACTTTTAATTTTACATTTAAAGTTATGATAGGCATTATATAAAATTATTATTATTAAAAATTATTTATTAACAAATAAATATTAAAATATTTATGGAACATGAAAAAACAAATAAATAAAACCACACGCCCTTTTGATAGATTTATATATTTGTCTCTGTCATTAATTATTTGTCTTAGTTTAACATGATGTATTTGTGCTTAATTATACAAGTGTCATGTTAGATAGTCATTTTATTAAGTCCTTAGAGTATATCGTTCTAGGGATGGTAAAATGGGTCGTGGCCCGCGGGCCGCCAAAAATTGACGGGCCGGGCCCATCATTTCAGCCCGTTAACCCGCCAAGCCCGCCCCTCCAAACTCGCCAACCCGGCGAGCCAAATAGCGGGCTGGCCCGTCCCAACCCGTCAAGCTCGCATAGGTAATTTATTGATTTAGTGATTGGGCTAGTATAAATAATAGGCTTAATATAAAAAAAAAAAAATCAGGCCCAATAGAGCCCATTTGAAGCCACAAAGGAGCCAAAACCTAAACCAATTTCAGCCAACAGCCAAAACGTAAATGAATTCCATTCCAGCCGCAGCCACCGAAGAGCATACCAGTCCTCTTGGTACTTATGCTTATGGTAACAAGCAATGGTTCCTTTTTTTATAATTTTTTTTTCCATTTTTTTTATTTAAACAAAATATATATTTTTTTCCATTTTTTTTTTAAATATTTTTTGCGTATACGGGCTGGCCCGCCGGCTCGCCAACCCATCCTTAGGCGGGGCGGGCCAACATTTTCAGCCCGTTTTTCATTGGCGGGCCAGCTTGACCCGGCCCGTTTTTGGCGGGTCATTAGCGAGGCGGGTCAAAACGGGGCGGGCTGGCCCGTTTTGCCACCCCTATATCGTTCTGGTACAACATGTCACTTCAAGCATGTAAATCGGGTTCGATCGGGAGAATTAACCTCTGGAACACTTATCATAGAAATTTTTTTCACTTTAATTCCTTAACTATTATTATAGTTTTATAATGTAGTACTAATATATTACTTCTTTTTTATTTAGAAGAAGAATCTACTTATTTCAACAATAGGTGTAGTTATATTTACTTTACTTAATAATTTATACTCCAAATTAAATTTTAATAATTTAACCATTTAATTACAAATTTTTAATGCATAAATTAAGTTTAAAAAATTTTAAATTTATAAAACATATGATGTTTTGTTTTATAAATTT